CTTTTTGGAATAAAGTGGAAAAAGTTTTGTGGTGAGGTTTAGTCTTTCCCGATAGAAGACGAATAGTGCCAACGTATCGCAGCATTGATCAATGTCAGTATCGTGGGTGATGCCGGAGTCGGCTGCTGCAGAAAATAAATCACGGGGAAGAGCAAAGAGGATAAGGGGTACTTATTGGCACCGAGGATAAAGATAAAGCTTGAATTCAGCCGTTTTTATCATTTTTTTTAATTTCATGGCATTTCCAAAAGAAGGGAGGTCTGCCGGCACTGCCACTAGTGTAAGACGTAACCTGTGGATCTCCTCTTCCCAGAAACTCATACTCGGAACACCCAGGTTGATTAAATTACGTCATGTTTGGTAGAAGAAGTAGTCGGGGAGAGCAGGTGCATATTCAGGGACGTGTGGATATGGGAGATCTCTCCGATTTGCTCTGCTTACATATATTTAGAATGCATCTGCTGAATTCCAGTGGTTTCCAATGCTCTTTGAGCTACAAAAAGTGGTTAAGAGTAGCACTTTTTAATAAGCTGTCGGTGTCTTTTGTTGGCATATATACGCCTGCAAAGTGATATTTCACCTTTCGAGAGCATTTCGTCTGCTCCGGAAGAACCCGTGGCAACAAATGAGGCTTTTCAATAAATCCTCTCAAAGAGGTTCAAGATTAGGGCAAGAAAATACCAGGTGTAGTTTTTTTCCATGATGCAGGTAAAAACAAATGCTGCAAAAGAGCCCAGGAGACAATTCAGGAATGATATAATGTAGTTCAGAGGCACAAAAATTTCATAAAACACCTCTCAAATATGTAGAAATGCCTGGTTTAGCAGCCATAACTGCGTGAATTTTAAGACAATCATTTGCATTTTTTGGCGGTCTTAGTCATGTGGATGTTCAAAATCTTGGCTATGGATTTTTAACACTTTATATTTTACTTTACAGTTGTATGCATACAGATGTGTGCATTTAATGCAACAAAAAATATACCTACTGCTCATAATTTTTTTAAAGG